AAATTCATTCATATTTTCTTTCTTTGAAATGACATATGTTCTGAATAATTTCCAACCTTTTATTCCTTTTCAGTTACTCAGGGTGGAACGACTACTACCAGAATAATAAAGAAATGTGCAGACTCCTCGCTGTGTCCAGCTGCAGACACACAGACATACTCCTTAAACACTGGATCTGGTCAAGTGTTTGCACAAGCCACCTGTTGTAACAAAACAAACTGCAACAAAGATGCCCCACCACGTGAGTACACTTCATTTGTTGAAAGAAGATGAAAGTTGAAAGAACAAACAATACATTTGGGGAATCTAAGAAAATAAAGGTGTTACTGTGGTTAAAGATGTAGTGATGTTCTGGTTTGTGTTGCAGTGCCGTCGCCTCCTGGAAACAGCTCAGTGCAATGCCCGACCTGTGATCCTCAGACAGGCACATGCACTACTAATGTAACATGTAATGAACTGGAGACCAGCTGCTTCCAAACTACAGGTTTGTCTGAAATCAGAGGAATACACTTGTTATTTACAGACTTGTGTATTTTTTCCTTCTATTTAAGCTCATAAAAAAACATGTTTAAAGTATTGAAAGTAAAACTTTTCAACTAAATCTTACGATTTTCTGTTCTGATTTTTCAGCAACAACAACTTCAGCGTCCAGTCTCCCCACCCGGGGCTGTGCCTCACCAAAAATGTGTACCACCTCTGTTCTGAACACATTTCTACCTGAACTGTCCCCGTACACAGCTGTGACTGGACCAAGCTCGTGTTCATCAAATACAACAACAGTCCCTCCAACTACAACTACTACTGCCCCAGTGCAGAACCTGAGCTGTAGTATCTGTACAGACCCTGCTGATCCAACATGCAAACAAGCAACAGTGCAACGCTGTCCAGTAACAAGCACCATGTGCTTTGTATCAACAACACAAAGTAAAATTTCATCACAAAATTCATTTGCATTTTCTTTTTCATGAAATGACATATGTTTTGAATAATTTTTTTTAACTTTTATTCGTTTTTAGTTACTCAGAATGGAACTACTACTACTAGAGTAATAAAGAAATGTGCAGACTCCTCACTGTGTCCAGTTGCAGACACACAGACATACTCCTTAAACACTGGATCTGGTCAAGTGTTTGCACAAGCCACCTGTTGTAACAAAACAAACTGCAACAAAGATTCCCCACAATGTAAGTACACTTCATTTCTTAAAAAAGAGAAAAAGCTGAAAGATGAGAGTTATATATATCAGAAAATAAAGGTGTTACTATGGTTAAAGATGTAGTGATGTTCTGGTTTGTGTTGCAGTGCCGTCGCCTCCTGGAAACAGCTCAGTGCAATGCCCGACCTGTGATCCTCAGACAGGCACATGCACTACTAATGTAACATGTAATGAACTGGAGACCAGCTGCTTCCAAACTACAGGTTTGTCTGAAATCAGAGGAATACACTTGTTATTTACAGGCTTGTGTATTTATTTCCTATATGTTTAAAGTATTGAAAGTGAAACATTTCAACTAAAACTTACTAGCTGCTGTGATTATTTACTACAGTTGTTCTGATTTTTCAGCAACAACATCTTCAGCGTCCAATCTCCCCACCCAGGGCTGTGCCTCACCAAACACGGGCTCCAACCTCTGTTCTGAACACATTTCTACCTGAACTGTCCCCGTACAGAGCTGTGACTGGACCAACCTCCAGCTCATCACATACAACAACAACAGTCCCTCCAACTACAACTACTCCTGCACCAACTACAACTACTACTGCACCAACTACAACTACTCCTGCCCCTACTACACTACTACTACTACTACCACCAACTCCAACTACTCCCCGCCCCTACTACAACTACTACTGCACCAACTCCAACTACTCCCGCCCTACTACACTACTACTACTACTGCACCAACTCCAACTACTCCCGCCTACTACAACTACTACAACTCCAACTACTCCCGCCCCCTACAACTACAACTCCAACTACAACTCCACTACTCCCCCTACTACAACTACTACTGCACCAACTCCAACTACTCCCGCCCCTACTACAACTACTACTGCACCAACTCCAACTACCCCTACTACAACTACTACTGCACAACTACAACTACTCCCGCCCCTACTACAACTACCCCAACTACAACAACCACAGCTGCATCAACTACAACAACTGCAGCCCCAACTTCAACATCTACAACTACTGCTAGTGCTGCCTATTTCCCTCGATTAGATTTACTCCATTTGTTGCTGGGAGTCTGTGCCTTTTTTCTGCTTTAAATGACTGCACACTTGAATAATATGGTACCATTCTTGTCTATCAATGTTTATAATGTAGAAATATTTTACACAAGCAGGTAATCCCAAGAAGATATGTTGGAGCTGGCCCTCTTAGAAGGTTCACTATGAAGTCATATCTTGCCATTGTATATTGTGAAGGACTGGCCAGAAGAAGAATTGAAATGTATCTTGAAATATTTATTGAAATTAGAATTCACCTCTTTGGCACATATGTTGAACATAAGTGTTCTTAAATGTATTTATATCATGTAAAGTAAACTGAAAATTAACTAATGTGTTGAAAAAATATATAATCTATTTATATAATCCTTTCCATTTTGTAAGTAATCCAATATGTAATCTAAAAATACTACTTACCCTGCAAGGGCAATATATATGTTTGGTGTCTTTTTTCATGCACTTGATTGTTGATGACTTCCCAGAAGGTCACCTGTCTCGAGTTAAACTGACTAAATGTACAGTGTGAGTGCTTGGGAATGGATCTAGATAAACAAGAGGACAGCAGGACTGAGTGAAGGCGCTGACACAAATCTATTCATCCAAGTTTCCTTTTACAAGTATTTATGGGTAGAACACTTCATGACTCAATGTACTTTCTCTCTTTTTCAATTTCAAACATAGGTTCGGTTCGGTTGATTTATTTCTACCTGTAGGTAAATTTGTTTTGCAGATTTGAGAGGCTGGTCCCACATTTCATTTCATTCATCCACATTATACACAATAAACACATCTAAACACACAGTTACAAATAAAGTGTTACAGAGCTCCAGTGCAGAAAGGTTTTGTTCCATAATTGGGTGACATTTTGTAACTTTCAAATGCTTAAAAAATGAGAATATAATGCACACGCACAATGTATAGATTTCCTAGTATATTTAAGTGAATATTTTATGATTGTGTATATGCCTCTTGAAAGAAACATTCATTTAAAAAAATCTGCATTTCATGTCAGGGACATCATTTAAACACATTACATTTAAAACAAGTTACTATATTTTTATTACTGAAAATGATGAAGAAGAGGGAAAGACTTCAAAATGGGATCAAACTTAACCAAGCACTTTCCCTTTTTAAATAGAAGTTCTTATGCACAAAAAAAAAATAAATATTTTTTTTAATGTCAAAACAAACATAAATATCAGTGTTTCATCACATGACATATGTCGTTGTACCAACTGACGGTTCAACTGGAATAAAAAAAAAAAAGGTGAAACTTTTGAAAATTGCTTGATAAAAACCAAATGACACTAACTACCTTTAATATATTTATTGTTCAGTTTTTACAAATTAATCTACCAAAACTAATTTCCTTTGTGTGATTATTATACATAATAATCTAATAATAATTTAATATGAAAAGTATTACTTTACTATAGTAGCATATAGCTAGTTAATTAATACAAATACAATTCTAAAATAAATCCAGATTTTATTTATTTTTTATTAAATGCTTAATGTACTGTAAGCGCCATTTCATAAGGATTACATATTTCAATATAATTAACAATTCATAATGATTCTTTTGTATTTTTGTTTAAAAAGCAACTTAATATGTTTAAGTACATGATTTATGTCTGATTCAAAAGAAAGAAAAAAAAACCTGATACATGATTTGAACATTGGGGGCGCACTAGTGCATATCTGTTGTATTCTCATGTAATTACATGTGAAGAAATGCTGTTCTTGAACTTGTTGACAATAAAGAAAATAGATGGCTGGAGCAACAAGGTTGTTTTACCGTGCTGCAACGACATCAATTTGTAAACGCGTAAGACAGGTTCATTAGTCATCTTCCTTTATGAAGAGATTAAATTAGTAATAAGGAGAAAATGAGTCAAAGATTAGCCTCTACATTAAGTAAAACGACCCAGCTCAACGAGGGAACGAGCCTGGGAGGAGCCCACCATCGCAGCAAAATGAACTTCACCAAAGAACAGAACAACTACTGGTAACTTAGAAAAAGAACCAACGAAGAAATATAAGACAACAGGAATGTTGTAGTCTGTAGGCTAGATGGCAGTCAAGAAGAAAGCTAAGTATGCTTTGTGTCATAGACTACTTTATTTGAAGTGCTGTTGAATTCTATCAGACATCGCAAGGCAAATTAAACAAAAATGGCGAACAGTGAGACGCAAGAAACCGGAGAAGAGGAAAATGAGTGCAGTACTGAAAACGTCCAAAAGAGAGCGCCATAGTACACGGAAAAAGGCCTAGATAACCAATTGCACAGACGAATGAACGCAAGAAGAGCAAAGCTTGCTCAATTGACTGCTAAACTGAATAAAATAAGTACTATGATGAAAACCAATGAAGATCCTGACACAGTTGATGAACATTTGAATGAGTTTTCAAAACTCATGAGTGACTTTGACCAGTCAAATGAAAGTGTACTTCAGCTGTTGTGTGAAGAAGAAAAGGATGCTGATCAGACATATTGGTTCCTACCTAAAAGGGAACAGTACAGCAATTTCAGTTTGGAAGCTGAAAAATTGACCTTTTCCATGAGACAGCAGACACAGGACGACGTGGGACCAGATGACAGCATGTCAATGGCGGGTGGACCAAGAAGCAGTGACCAGCATCCTGCGCAAAGGAGACCAGGGCCAGCCAGTGCAGTTCAACCACATCATCAACATCATCTGCACGTCGCAAGGAACAAGCAGAGTGAGCTGCTCTGATTACTCAAGCAGAGAAGCTCAAAGAAAAACAAGATTTGGAGTTTGAGGAGCTGAGGTTAAAGGCCAAGAAGGAGCAGCTTGAAATGGAAACTCAGATTGCTGCTTCTACAGCAAAGATAAAGGTATTAGAGGCATATGAGTATGAGGAAAGTGAAAATAAAAGTTTAACTGGCCTGCGTGCTAACTCAGTAAGGGGTTATGAACAAATCAGTGTTTTCCCTGTTATGACAAATGAACAGCCAAGCACTCACATCTTACGTAGACCTCAAATGGTTAAACAGGAGATACCCACTCCACACATAGAAATGAACAGTACAGTTAACTTATGTGAAGTAATGCTAAAACAAAATGACATTACCGAGGTGTTGGTTAAACAACAAAGACTCACAAACTTACCTCAGAGAGATGTGCCAATTTTCAGTGGTGATCCTTTAGAGTTCAAACCATTTCTTAGAGCATTTGAGTATACAATCAGCAGCAAAACTGAGAATGACAGCGACAGGATTTACTATCTTGAACACTTCACAAGAGGCGAACCTAGAGACTTAGTCAGAAGTTGCCAGCACATGAGCCCCCAGCTTGGGTACAAAGAGGCAATGGAACTTTTACACTATCACTATAGCAACGAGATCAAAATTGCAACAGTTTACCTGAATAGAGCTGTAAACTGGTCACAGGTTAAAGCAGATGATGCCAGAGCTCTTCATAGCTACTCTCTTTTTTGACTGGTTGTTACAATGCATTGCAGGACATTAACCACCTAGAGGACCTAGACAACCCAACTAACCTTAGAGTCATAGTTTCTAAGTTACCTTATAAAATGAGAGAAATGTGGAGAGTGTCCGCTTTTGACATTCAAGAAACTTCTGGTGAACAGACAAGCTAAAATAGCTTCAGATCCTTTGTTTGGTAACATTAAAGATGATGACAAAATCAAACAAAGCTCAAAACCAAACAAGACATTTAGACCAAGGGGCAGTGCATTTGCTACCAGTGTGACACCTACAACAAGGGAGAAGTTACCAGATAATAACAAAGGCGACTTGCGTCAAGCAGTTGATGCATTTCAGAAACCATGCCTTTACTGTGAGAAAAACCACACACTCGCAGATTGTCAGAAAATAAGAAAACTGCTTCAAAAGGAAAGAGTAGAGTTTCTTAAGGGAAAGATCCTCTGGTTTTCATGTTTAACACAAGGACATTTGAGTAAAGACTGTAACTTCTTGGGTTCTTTTTAAAGACAATGCAGTAAAGTGTATTTACCTTGTTGACATGTTTCGGCTGCTAGCTGCAAGCCACCATCAGAACTGTCACCGGTGTTGGTGGTGACGTGTCGTATATCAGCTGTTGTTACTTCCTGTAGGCGTGGTCAGCCTGATGGACCTGGCAAGTATATAAGAAGACAAAATGAACATCTTTTGCTTAATAAGAAAAAGACTCTAAGAAACGAATCCAATGCTACTACTGTTCCAAGAGACATCCAAGTATGCTTCATTACGATAAAACAGAGGATGTAGCAGTAGATAACAAACCCACCAATGATTCTGAAAACTCTGACACTGAAGTCACCAGTCCCATCCCAATCACAGGTGGTACATGTGGTGCCACCGGGGCCGATAATAGCAGTAGAGTTTTAACTGGCCAGTTTATGCCAAGCTTAAGAAAAACAACAAAACTATAGAGACTTATGCATTCTTGGACAATGGCAGTGAAGCAACATTCTGCTCAAAGAAACTTATGAGACAACTAGGCATAGAAGGAAAGAAAACACGAATCCTTCTTCGCATTATGGGTCAAAAAAGAGTAGAGCC